CGAAAGAGCTACGACAGCCCCGCTGCACTTGGTAGCACTTGTAGTCAATCTACACCTGCGTCGTTACGACTGTTCTTCTGTGAGGATTGACCACTTCTGTTATTTGCCCCAGGGCATACAGGACGGGCTTAAGAGGCTGATGTTTCTGCTTGGCCCTGAGGGTCATGCAACACACGACCTGAAGCAATCAGCGCGCGCTACGAGGCGTTCTTGAGCTATGAAATGCTCATTTAAAGCATTTAGAACGGAGGAAGTTGGCGTCGACAGCGTTCATGACGCCACCGTCGACGACGGATGACTCCTCCCGACCCTGGTCGCTCCTGGTGAGCGTTCAGATCCTCGAGAGCAAGGATGGAAAGAATCTCCTGCTCTGGGTGAGAGAGGCCGAGGTGGCTATGGCGCCCGCCATGCCTCAGACCGAGCAACATCGCGTGGCGCTAGCTCTCGTCAAGCTCGGTGGTCGAGCGCGAGAATGGGCACTGACGTGCGCCACTTCGGTTGAAGCGGCGTTTCCTCCTGAACGGAGCTGAAGCTGCAGCTTTGACGAGTGTTCTCGCCGCCTAACCAGGCAAATTGCGTGTGATCGGGTTTCCTTGCTGTTTGATAGGGCAAGAAAGAATTAGTGGACTTTGTCCAGCGTTGCGTACTCTCATCGCCGGTATGGCAGCCGATCCTCTCCTGAGGCGGTCACATTGACCGTCATTATAGAGGGCCTCCGCACTGGCGTGACCATAATGGAAATCTTCCGTGTGCATCTATCTTCTTTTGAAGAAGCAGTTATTGTGGCATTGAATGCCAGATTCAAATTTAAGTCGGCACGACTTGGTTGGAATGGACACCCTCATAGCCCGTTGAGCGACCCAGATCCAATGAATCTCAGTTATGCTGAGAATGAAAGGCAGAGCTTCGAGCTGCCGAGAAGCGTTCGAAAACCCGACGGTGTTAATGCGTCACCTTCGGACGCGTTGTCCCCTGCGCAAGGCGCGTCAAGGTTCATCGAACCGATGTCCTGCTCCTCACCTGTTTTCCGGTCTGTCGCGGGGAACGACAATAGCGCGAGACACCCTTTTAAAAAAAGGACTGGGTCGTGTTGAGCCTCAAAGAGGTAGAGGTCAGCAGGGCCCCGCCTTGAAAAGCTCCGTGCTCTTGAGCACGGAACGTGTATGAAAGCCGCGATTGCTGGTCGCGAAAGTGACCTCCAAGGGTTTTGAGAAGCCATGGAAGATCCTGATCGACTCCGGGGTGTTGGGCAATTTTGCTTGACGCTCCATAATCGAAAGAAGTCAGCCGTAAGCTGAGGTGCTGAAGGCGCTGTTAGGTGACACCGTCACTGTTCGCTAAGCAACGGGGACTTTTGTCACTATGTCGTGGGCCCTAGGAACCTAGCAACTACTTCGAAACGTGAGCAGTGCTCAGTAGATTACGTGCCACTACATGCGCTTCACTGGGGCCTCGCCCTCGATGCCTCAGACCTCGTTCGACCATGCTACGCTTTGCATACAGACTTGAGCAGTGCTCAGTGAGTTACGTGCCTATCCGTGGGCATCACTGGGGCTTTGCCCTCGATGCCTCGGCCCTAGCCTCCACCCATGCCCCTCTTGGCATGCAGCAACTGCTTTGACACTTGAGCAGAGATCAGTGGGTTACGTGCCACTCCACGTTCAGTCCGCGAGCCATGCTCGAGACTCTTGTTTGATACACCTTCGGTGTTCGTCAATTCGAATGCTCTGATATTCAGCACATCAACCGGCCCGGTCTGGTGCCCGCGCCAATAGCGCTTCTGCGTCCTTGTAGAGGTCGGTTCATGACTCACCAGCTCTCCACCAGGAGACGTGAGCGTTTTGCCTAAGGTCTTCGACCTCCAATCAATTTATGGCTCATGGTGTTCCAACTATGCCACTTCAAGGATGAGGTCATACCTTGAAGCCAAGTCTAAGAATTAGCAGCGCTCTACGCTATTAAAGGCAAGAGTGTTGATACCGGCATACCAAGAGCGACATGGTAGGACGAGGTCCAAGGCATCTTGAGCAAGGCCCTTCTGATGCGCGTGGAGTTGCACGTTATCCACTGGACAAATACTGCGGATATGGCAGTTCCTCATCGGATTTTGTTAAAAACATTACGGCTCCGACGGAGCAGGGATTAAGGCTAACATTGAAAGTCGCTGAGTGCGTGGCCACCGGTCTCAACAAGACGTAAAATCTCTATGGAGAGGAGACGGCGATGCCGTATGTTACCTGCAAGACTCAGGGCGTCAACCTTGATCCGGGGTAGGTCTACCGTAAAGGATAGCGCACAAATTATACACCCTCGTCAACAGTATGACGGAGGAGGAATACGGCGACGTTACCCTCGAGGCTGACCCCGCGGTGGATGCTCTTCTTGAGCTTTACGAGATGTCCTTCGAAGGGTTTGGCAGTGCCTTGAAGGCAGGCGACTTAGCTGAGGTGGTCAATCCACGACCGATCGAGGAGAAACCCTCGTCGTCGCTTTTAGATGAATCTGTCCTGGAGGACATCAAGAAGATGCTAAACACACGAAGTGGATCGTCAATCCTGATGGATCCTCGATCTATACTACTCTTTGTTAAAGGAACTTCACGACGTCATCTCCAAAGACCCTCCGTCGGTCCATCCTCCGGACCGATGCGTGCGTCATGAGATCCACCCGGTTCCGTGAGCCAAATATTGGGTAGCACACCACTGGCCCCTGCCCAAGGGACAGTGTGAGCTCAAAGCGCAGTTGATGTCATTAACGCAATCTTCCATGTGAAGCACGACGCAGAAATGGTGCGTGAGAGCAAGTCTCCTCATTCGACACCCACGTTTTGTGTCCG